TGATCGGTGGATTTGTATAGAAAATCAGTGTGTTCAACAAGCAAATTAATTGTCGTGCTGAGAGCAGCTTTGGATGTAAGGACGTCAGCTTATGCACGAATGGATGAGCCGGGGCACAATGGTGTATAAAGATATATATGCAAAGGAAGAGCTGAAAGATGCAAAGGGAAGTGCGTATGAATTGTGTAAGTGACCAAAGGAACTTAGAAAGAAATCCAACACTCGGAAGCTTTGGATTTGGTTTTCAACGAAGACCAATATGGATTTTTCAATATAATTTCTTGAAAAGAACTATTTGAAACAATTTTTATGTGTCATTCTGTCGATCATGTATAATATTTTTGAACTAAGAAACGCTTGGAATTTATGAAACACCTTACCGAACATGCCAGAATGTTTCTTAAAATGTTCCAAAACAGTAAAACGTTCGAAGTTAGATACATACACCATTCTGTCGATCATATACATGCATACAGGTATTATTTTGCTCTATGAAACGTAGTGAATTAGTGAAACACATTAACGAATATGCCTATATGGACTTTTCTACACAATAAAATACTCGAAGTTGGATTTCTGTAACATTCTGTCGATCGTGTATATAATTTTTTAAATATGAAACGTGTGGAATTAGTGAAACACGTCTACTTTTATAATTAAGTAAAATTAGCACTATATTTTCATTTTTGCCAAACTAAATTTGAAGGAAAAAACAATTAAACACAATCGTGCCGCTTTGGGGAATGCTTGAAATTTTCGAAACATTGGAGTCTACGAAATATCTATGTATATGAAAGTTTTAGAAAAACACGCATGTACATATGTATGTATGTACATAAACATGTAAACACGCAGCGAAATGTATTTTGCTTGAACAATTTTCTCTTTTCGCATAATAATGGAATTAAATATGTAGTATGTATGTACATATGAAGTAACATTGAAATTTTTAAATATGTTGTAAATCTCGAAAGTGGACTTTAGAAAGAAAGAAATTAAAATCATGGGAACTGTAAATTAATTTTCGGTTGCAATTAACGGAAATGTGTATTGTGAACATTTTGGAATTTTCGAAACACACTGCTTAAAGTTTAATTATTTACATAAACGAATAATATCTCAGCCCAACATTACACAAAAAATATTACATAGCGAATTATATAGGAGAGGAACATTTTGGATTTTTCGAAATTTAAGAATATACAAAATATGAATATGAAAATTTATATGTACATACAAACATTATGAGCTAATTATATGAATTTTCTGTTACAATAAACGTATATTTGTATGTGAAACAATTCGGAATTTTCGAAACACAATGCATGAAAGTAGAAATATAAGTTTTATAACTTCTTTAAAAATGTTTGTCTATAATTTTCGCAACAAACATAATAAAATACAAAATATGCACAAGCAAGTTAATATTTATTAAAGTAATACGAATACGCTTTTGTATTATATTGCTTCTAAAAAAGTTCAAATTGTAATGGACAATGCTAGTAATTATTGTAATATGCTATAAACCCTCTTTGCTCACATTTTAAATAAATATTTCATCACTCAAGAGTTTTTGACATGAGTCAGCCATTAATATATGTATATATGTATATCATGCAATTCCAATTATGCCCACTATTTCACTCACTTCCTAGACACCTTAATAAATCTTAATTATGCGTCGGCTAATAAATCAAAAATTCACCTGAAGACCAAACTATTTAGGGTTATGAATATATGCTCATACATATGAACATATATGAATGTAACTAAGTATGAGTATCTTTGAGGAAATTTGCAGCCAGAAACCAAAGAATGACTTTTATAATAAATGTAATAATAATAATGCCACGTGTGCATTAAAATAAACGAGAATGCATTAGAATGTGTAACCACAAATGTGTGCTGTAGGCTCCTTGGACTGGTATACACCATCGATGTGCGGCGCCTACTTCAAAGCCCACAAAATCCTGGCCGAAAGTTCGTTTTAAGCCCAAAGCATTCGTTTGCGCATAATTTATTGTTCATAAATTCAATTTATGCAAGAAAACTACACCCACACATACTCATTCGCGCTCTTACGCTCGGTGAAAGAGTAGACGTCTATTCACACTCAACGCGTTAGGTGAAAGATAAAGTTTTCCCATGGTGATGTCGTTGAACGGCGAACGGCCTAACTGAGCAAAAGAACTAAGAAAATGAGAATAAAAGATCTAAACAAAAACAATTGAGGCAAAGGACCAAGTAAATCGCTTTCCAACTTCAGCCACACACTTGTACTCAAGAAGAAAAAGCGCGAAGGCGCGAAGAAAGTTGTGGCATAGGGAAATTTCTTCGGTGTTGAAAATGTCTTGACTAGTGTGGTAACCGCAAGGTAGCGGCGGAGCACTTAGCAAAAGATGCCAATAGGAATTACACTGATATTCTTTAATAAGGTCAAAGGACACCCTGTCTAAGTCTTTGCACAAAATCAGGGCAACTTATTTCATTTTTCTTAAAATAAAATATGTTGACAAGGCATTAGACACATTTCATTAGTCGGTTGAGAATTGTAGAAAAGTTTTCACATTGAAAGAAAAAAATTATATATAAGTATAAACGTTAATAAATGATTTCGTCCAACATGATTTTCCCCTTCAAATAATGTTAAATAAAATATAATAATAAGGGAAGAAATCCTTTCCAAGAGTGTTTAGGCTCTTGTCTTTTCCTACGAAATTCTTGCAGTACCAAACTTTTTTAAAAGGAAACCCGAATTCTAAGAATAATTCGAAGATGACAAAGCAAGTGGTTCACTACCGACGTTATTCGATTTCATACCTAGTATTACAGGGCATCTCACAACCTACAAGCTTCTTAACAGTCCAAGTATTTACTGAATCTTAGCTATCCTACTCAGAACTTAAGGAAAGTTCTCTATATCGATTCCTCTTTATGATAGATAATAATTTTCATTACCGGCTGATTGCTTGACATTTTTTGAACCTTCTTCTTTTAGGCTTATCCTTTCTTCACAGCACATGAGCTTGGAAATCCAGCTCTAACCGAAGAACATATAACAGTAATTTGAAGAGTGAGCCCCTAACTGTCCATTCTCTTAGGTATTGGGTAGGAATTGACGATGAGTCGACAAAATCCACCAAGAAGTTGTAAAGCTAGTACTATAGGTTATCGAGTGAAATGACATTCCAAAACTGTTGTGGGTGTCCACTTTTACACTGATTCCTACTGCCATCCACAAATTCCGCAATTCAAGTTCCAGCACAGCTTTTTATTCTCTTCCTACCAAGTCTTTTCACCTGTCTCGACTGGTTGGTTATACACACGCTAATGGCTTAAATGCGCTCAATGCTTTATGGGCTTGTAAAACACAATAAATGCATTTATTTGCGCCAAAGTCGAAGCTCTAACTAGTAAATGTAAATATTTATTTATGAGGCACCGCCACTTGGTAGGACTCCTATAGGCAGGCACCTACATGTAGGCAGGTAGTAAGAAAATTGGGTGGATCCAAACGCATATATTAAAAGTTATTTTGCTGTTGTTGTTTTATATACTATTTTTCTTCTACACTGCTTTCTCGCATGAGAGGACGACTTCGATAAGCACACGGCTTTGCTTTCGAACCTTTTAAACATTTTGTGAGTGGCACTAAAAGTTGTTAGAATACCTTGATATCACACTTTTATTTGGAGGGATAAATAATATAAAAGCAGATGAAGGTATGCGAATATTGCAGTATCGAAGGAATACCGAATTGTACTGATCATTATACTCTTGTTCGCTTCAGTTCCCGTTCTGCTCATACTAAGTGAACCTAATAAGCTGAGTCGGAGTGTGACCCTAACTGCAAACTTTGCAGTGAGAGATAAAGAAAAAGAGGTCTCAAATTGAGAGACAGATATGGTTGTATCGGAGAAAGGGAGAAAAAGTAAGAGAGCAGAAAGTAGACGTTAGAGGGGAAGGTTATAAACCGATAGGTAGTAGATGGGTATATTTAAAGTTAGAGATAGATCTTGATAGAAAAGGAGCTAGATAAAGATATAGAATGAAGTTAGAGTAAAATTCTGAACCTAATTGCTCTTATAAGAATATAAGAATATAAGGTAAGTTTATATATGTCTATTGCTGGTCAAAAACATCTGAAACCTTCAAATAAATCTACAGCGAAAGAGTTTCATCTCAGAACATTAGAAAAATTCCTTACCTTAAAATGTAAAACTTGAAATTAACACCCTTTATTATCTCAGCAAAAAAGAGAGATTTAATTACAAACATAATAAAGTATTAAATATGCACATGAGAGTTAATATGGAAGCGGAGACGAGAGCCTAATGAAGTGATCATAATAAGCGGATATGGTTTTGTGGTACATTGTGGTATTTTTGATACACACTGCAAAAAACCTAAAATTTAAATATTACAACCTTTTGCAGAATTATGTGGCTTAGGAACGTTTTGGAATTTTCGAAACAAACAATAAAAATGTGCATATAAAAATTAATATGGCAACAGAAATGAAAGAAATTAAATGATTAACGATTACAATAAGGGTATATGGGAATGTGGAACATTGTGGTATTTTTGAAACACACTGCAAAAAACCTAAAATTTAAATATTACAACCTTTTGCAGAATTATGTGGCTTAGGAACGTTTTGGAATTTTCGAAACAAACATAATACAAAAAATTTTGATAAATATAATTTGATTAACTAACTTTAAAATAAATATATAATTTGTATAACCCTCTGCAGCATTATCTAGCTAAGAAACGTTTTGGAATTTTCGAAACGAACATAATAAAAATGAAAAAATGCAATTGAGAGTACATATGTAAGATGGAATAATCCCTAGCCGTAAATTTTAAAATCCGCATTTAAACACCCTTCATTACCTTAGCAAAATAGAGAGCGCATTATGAATTACCTAGAAAACACAAGCCCAGCATTTCGTTTTAGCAAAAATTCTGACTACAGTATTTGTTAGTAAGAGTTCGCATGTTAAGCCGTCAAGTTGTGTGCGCTTTGAGTTGTAAGTAATTGTTAAGCTATTATAATGTCACGATTAAATTAAAAAGTAATAAACCACTGCAGTGGCAGGGCATTGCGATTTAAATTACAGCAACACAAACCGGTCTGAAAAAATCCCCTCAAGCTTCAAACGCTGTAAAGTGAAGACTGAGCTGCTGTGTATAGTTGAAGATTCCGTATTATAATTGACTAACGTCAAAAATGATTTGAGTATTCTTATCTAAATTTAGATTTTTCTCAAAAGAAGCAAATTATACGGATGTTAACTTTAAAGAGGCGGGAACGCTATATTTTTAAATGTAAGTAGTTGTCATGGCATGGACTAAAGTGATTCCTAATAGTTTGATCTGATTCTAATAATTTCATTAACTTATGTAATAGGATTCAGTAGCGCTATCAAACTACACTATAGTTCGCTGATCGCAGTGTAGAGTTTCAAACAGATACTTGTGAGTCAAATATCGCATCCCTTGGACACAGAAATCATTCCTCCTGAATATATTTCACTATCAAACGGTGTCGGAGAAGTTGAGATCAGAAATCCACACTGAATTGAAGTTTCAAATTCTCCATTAACATTTCTCTCGAGAGAGAGAATATATTTAGACTGCAATATTTAGTCCACATCAATGCGAGTAGTTAGTTATCATAGTATTATATTATATAAAAAATTTATCTGTGAGAGTACATGGAACAGCGGTGGTGAGTAAAAATTATTCTTCATGAGCTCCGGCGGTATTCCTTCTCAAATTGAGACTACCACATTTGAGGAAAACGCTTTTTCATGTATGAAAACTGTTTAGAAACTCCGTCAATTTTGATGTCAGGACAGCTGTTGGGAAGGCTTACCATCTATCCTATATATCTAGCTCTCTAAACTTATATATATTTTTTTTTTTCGAGGTTGTTTCAAAAGTTTGGTTCCTTTAAGCTTTCGCTGAACCAACATCACAAATTATGAGCAGTCCATTCAGTGAATGCTCCAGTCACGGTCCTGTGTCTATGTCTCCGCGTCTACTTACGCACTCATGTTCGTCGGATGCGGCTAGTACAACAACAGTAGCAACCTCGGAAGAATCTTTGAATAACTTTATGCCATCGCCTTCTATGGACTCTGCAACATCGGGCATATACTGTGACGGAACGCAAAGCTTACTGGACTTAAGAACGTCACCAGTTGCATATAGCCAAGAAAGTTTACAAGAAGCAGAAATCACTTTAACCACAGCAAATTCTACAGTTTACAGCTTGGCTAGAGCGAATCTACTTGAAAGCGAGGAACAATGCAACATTTTACGACAACGTATTACAGATTATGAAATTAGAAATTTCATGCAGGTTAGTACATACCAAAGAGATTTTTAGAAAATTTACTACACTCTCCCATACCAACAACGGTTTGCAGGTGTGCAAAAGTCCAGAATTCTTTGATTTCGACGTCGAACACTTGCTGCGTTTAGTAGAGCACGACGATTTGAATGTTAGCGCTGAAGCGGATGTCTTCTGGGCCATCCGACGTTGGTATAAATATGACGAAGATGCACGGAGGTGTCACCTACCCGATTTGATTGCTTGTTTACGGCTGACACAATTTGATGTCGATTTTATATACTCGCATATCAACAATCTACCTGGTTGTGAGCTACTGGTGAACAAGGCTGTGGAGTGGCTGCTACGACCTAGCGCACGTGGTACAATATCACTGCGCTACACGAAACCACGAAAAGTGCTACAAACTGAAGACGAGACGTACTGGATCGTGGTGCAAACACGTGGCGATGTGAGTAAACATAGATTTAACAGGAATGTAGGAATAACTACAAAATTAATCTGCACAATACAGCACAGGATCGCGGACAAATGCGTACTTCGCTACAACAAAGCTCTTAATGAATGGCAGAAGTGGACCGATATAAAATTGGAACGCAGTAACTTTGCCATAGTCCATTTGGAGAACAGCATCATCTGCATTGGCGGCTTAGGTCGTAATACCAAGCCGATCAACCATGTTAATCGCTATAATTTGAATACACAAGCTTGGGAGCCAATGCCATCGATGCAACAGCGTCGAGTTTACATGAGTGTTGCGATGTTGGACGGCAAAATATACGTCTTCGGTGGACAGGATGAAAAATACCAAGCTCTGAACACTGTGGAAGTGTAAGTGTTTTCCATGATAAGACATTATTTATTTTGTGCCCGATTTAAGCGACCAAAGGTTAAGCGAAAAAAGGTTCAAGCGAGCTCAAACTTAGTCAGATACACGTACTAAGACGTCGCAATTTTTGCTCAAGTTGTCGCTTGCACTGAGAGGGACAACCGGTGTTCAATTCTCTCGGCATCCTGGTCTTTTTGATATATATATTATTAAACCGAATCGAGTATACATATAAATTAAAAAGACTACGACTAACACCAAAAAATTTAATAATGCTAAAAAGCGAGGACGTCTCAACTCTACTCCATTTTTCCATAGCTCTGCATCCCCTTTACTACAATTTTTTTTCTAGGTTCGATACGATTGCCGGACGCTGGCAGAATATGGCTAGTATGTCTGTACGTCGAGCCTCCACGGCTGCTGCAGTTTTGGATGGCCAACTTTATGTGATCGGTGGCTTTAATCGAGCGCATTTACGGTTAGTTGAACGGTATGATCCAGCAAAAAATATTTGGACACAATGTGCGGAAATGAATGAGGCACGCGGTTGGCCTGGAGTGAGTCCAAACAACATAGAAAATATATAACATTTTTAATACTAGACTTTAGGTAGCTGTACACAATGGGCATATTTATGTGATCGGCGGTTGGTTCAACGGCGCACTGCGGACGGTCGAACGCTACAGTTTGTCGGCAAATAAATGGACGACGGTGCGTTTTGTAATAATTGATTTCAATAGCATTTTTTTTTTTTTTTTTTTTAATTTTATAACGCTTCTCTACAGATATGCTCCTTGAATGTGGCGCGTGGTAGTATTTGTGGACTGTCTATGAATGAGACACTTTGGGCCATCGGTGGCTACGGTGAGGGCATCCTTAGGGACACTGTAGAGGTTTACGATGAGGAAAATGATAACTGGCTGGAAGAAAAAATATTACCAGAAGCTGGGCGTTACGTACGTTAAGTATTGTAAATTAGTGTGTTTAAACACAAGTGGAAACCATGTAAAATTATTTTAAGATGTTCGCAGTGCGAAGCACCTTAATTCTTATACCACACGTAAGCAGGGAGAAAGAAAATTATTTTGTGATATTAAATGGCAACCCTGTTTATATTTTTTTTTTACCATTTTTTTTTTAATTATAAATTATACTACCGGCGCACAAAATATAATTGTGTATGATAAACTATAAATAATTTACATTTTGTTTTCATTTGTGCACTAATGGCAACTCTAGCTTATGAAAACAAGCAAATGTCTAGTCAAATTTCTCAAATAACATTATTTTATTTGTTGATTAGAACACAGCCTCAAGCGAAATATAATTATTTATACACTTTATAATTAGCAATTAAAATTAAGAGATAGATAGCTGATCAACCGAAGTTAGAAATATTTCCGTTACTCCCGCACTATGTGGCTTAAAAAGTTGCCAGATTGGAGAAATGAATTTAACAAAAAATTTCTGGGATACTTGGCCCCTTGGCCGTGGGAAACGAACATAGGTATTCCATTTTTCAATCCTCCTTCTTCTTTATAGGCGTAGATACCGCTTTCGCGGTTGTAGCCAAGTTTACAACAGCGCGCCAGTTGTGTTTCCTATTCACTGTGTGGCGCCAATTAGGGATTCCAAGTGTAGCCAGGTCCTTTTATAACTGGTCTTCCCAACAGAGTGGAGGTCTTCTCCATCCGCTACTTCCGCCGACGATTACTGCGTTCAATGCTCTCAGAACTGTTTCCAATCCTTCTCGGAACTATATAAATGACAAGTCTGATTAATCATATACCGACCACAATAAAAAGTTTGTACATAAGGGAGTGGTCGGTAAATATTTAGCCTCCCCTTGAGAGACATGTTTATCGACATGCTCGCAAAAGTCTACTAGAAAAATTCAAGCGGAATCGAAGTAATAATGTTGCATTGACCGCGCAATCCGAGGGAGTTTTAGTGTTATTTCGTGGCCGGAGACCAAATATATATCCATTAATACATATCGGAGATTAAGGAACATTTGAAACAAATAACTTCACCTAGTTGCTAGAAACTCGAAGTGAGTGCTACTCGCTGGAAAGCTGATCACTACCGTTTTATAAGATTCACGAGTTGAGATCTACTATACATGGAGCAATACAGTCACAGCACTCGAATTATTGGACCGTTTCGATGCCGGATTGTAGTAAAATTGGCTCACACCGTCGCCGTCAAATTGTTCTAAGTAGGTACGTCATCCACCTGCTCTAACATCTGAATGCCCTAGATATAACCCCGTAAGACTTTTATTACCAAACCGAATCGACCTTCCACAGCGACATCGCTTGACTCTGTGAGCTCTTGGAGAGTTCCCAGAAGATCCGAAGTTTTCGAGCCAAATTTTGTTCAGCGATCAAGCCCGTTTCTAGCAGTCAAGGGTATATAAACAAAAAAAAAAATTGCCGCATTTGGGACGAAGGGCAACTTAAAGAGATTCAAGAGCTGCCATTTCAACCAACAAAAAAAAACACACAAAAAACAGCGAATTGATGTGGTTTGTGGGCCAGTGGAGCCATCGATCCATATATCTTCAAAAATGATGCCGGTGATAACGAAACCGCCAATGCCGACTGTTAACGTGATGCCTGAAATTGAAGCTCGTGATCTCGGTTTCAACAAGACGGCGCCACTTTCCACACAACGCATCAATCAATGGTTTTATTGAGAGAACACTACGGTGAGCAGATAACTTCAAGTTTTGGTCATCGAAAGTCAAACTCAACGGATGGACCATCTTAGATGTAGCTGCCAATGAATGCCAAGGAATTCGAATGATAATAAATATTCTCGATTAAATTAAACGTTTCTTTGGCTCTATAATAAAGTAGAGAGCATCGGAATGGAACACCCTTTATAATACCTTTCACAAATACAAAGACTCCATACAAGAATTTGAATTTGATCGGCCAGTCAATCTGAATATTTATTCGGTGGTTGTAATACTGGTTTGGAAAATAATTCGTGGCGAAAGTTTTGAAGACATCTCGTCAAATAAAAAAGTAGTCCATACAAGATTTTAATTTCGCTCCTTTGTATGACGGCTATATGCAACTGTGTTCAGGGTATAAAAAGAGAGCGAGACCAACGGAAACGGAGAAAGAGAGTTCGCCAAACAAATGCAAAAAATCTTATTCACATAATTTTCAATTATAAATTACTTTTTCTAAGCTCTCACTGAGAGCGCATTTATGTTAGTTCAGCAACTAATTTAAATCTCTTTGTGCTAGAATCTAGCTCAGTTTTGAAATATTTTACACAGCACAGCGTTTCATTTCTCAGTCGTTAACGAACTCTTAAACTTAACGGGTTGCAATGTTCGGTTTTGTATTCTACTAGTATTAATACCATATTTACATTTGTTTTAACGAGTTTTTTTTTTTTTTTTTTTTTTTTTTTTTTTTTTTTTTTTTTTTTTTTTTTTGTTTTTTTTAATTTTTTTTTTTTGTTTTGTAACGAGTATGGAGCGTCGCTGGGCAAGTGAAAATAAACTGATTTTAGTGAAAAGCGCTTTGAATTCCAGCGATGGCGATGAGACGGAAACTATTATTTTAAGCAACTGTGATCTAGAACAAAGTGATATTGATGTGATAACGACACATTTTGCTTATGCAACATATTTGGATGTATCGTATAATGAGAAAATTGGTAGGAAATTTGTTATGAATGCGAAGTGCGAAAGCGCTACGAAGCCTAAGCAAGCATATATAGTACATACATATGTAAACAGCTAACGGCATCATTGCAATTGAAAAAAAAAAAACGAAAAACTAGTTTCATTAATGCAAATAGTTAGGTTTGAGGTGTATAAAAATAAAAAATAAATAATTCATTCAGTGTGTTTTTATTTTAATTGCGTATACAAGTTTTATTATTAGCGGTGACCTTTTTTTTTTGTTGTCTTTGCTGCGTTAATTGTGAAGAGCTTATTATCGCTGCTGTTTTAGCTTATTTATATTATTTGTTTATACTAAGCGCTTTAATTGTTTATTGCTGCTGCATTAATTTGTTGATAATTATTGGCGACAAAAATGCCGGTACATATTTGCTGTTGAAAGTATGTGCTTTGCGGAAATAAGCAAGCGCAAAAATGTTTTCATAATTTCATGTGGAATATATTTTCTAATTAAAAAAAAAAAT